CAGTCCAGAAGATGGCGAACAACGAGAACTTTCCGCCGGCGAACGCGAAGAAGAAGAAGAAGAAGATAACTGTCCTGTTGTGACAATGGGTTTGTCACAAAGATCTGTCTGTCTGTTCCTCCATTCCGTTCTCGCTTGTGGAATCTCTTCAATCTCATCATGGATGGAATTCAGTCCAGCATCTTTGGTCTTTCTCATCAACGTTTGTTTTAGGGTTTCTTGTGGGCTTCCTCGCTGTCTCACCACCTTTATTTCCCAGGATAACGCCTGTTTGGTGATTGTCTGCTAGTTTCTTCACAGGATGTGTCTAATAAAGAACTATTTGCTTTGTTTTATATCTGTTATTACAAGTGGTTGTCCAGACATCTCTCTGATTTCTTCACCCCTCTTGAATTCAGCCCACATTTCATTATTTTCTTCAGACATTATTTTTCAAATGCATGTTTCTGTCGACGTGTTTACTGGTTCTCTAGCTTTTACTGACATACGTTAGAACTGAAATATTATTAGAACTAAAAATATTATTAGAACTGAAATATTAGAACTGAAATATTATTAGAACTGAAATATTAGAACTGAAAAATGATTAGAACTGAAATATGATTAGAAATGAAATATGATTAGAATTGAAATATTATCAGAACTGAAATATGATCAGAACTGAAATAGGATTAGAACTGAAATGTGATTAGAACTGAAATGTGATCAGAACTGAAATATGATTAAAACTGAAATATGATTAAAACTGAAATATGATCAGAACTGAAATATGATTAGAACTGAAACATGATTAGAAATGAAATATGATTAGAACTGAAATATGATTAAAACTGAAATATGATTAGAATTGAAATATTATCAGAACTGAAATATGATTAGAACTGAAATGTGATTAGAACTGAAATGTGATCAGAACTGAAATATGATTAAAACTGAAATATGATTAAAACTGAAATATGATCAGAACTGAAATATGATTAGAACTGAAACATGATTAGAAATGAAATATGATTAGAACTGAAATATGATTAAAACTGAAATATGATTAGAACTGAAATATGATCAGAACTGAAATACGATTAGAACTGAAATATGATTAAAACTGAAATATGATTAGAACTGAAATATGATTTAAACTGAAATATGATTAGGACTGAAATATGATTAGAACTGAAATATGATTAGAACTGAAATATGATTAGAACTGAAATATGATTAGAACTGAAATATGATTAGAACTGAAAATATTATTAGAACTGAAAAATGATTAGAACTGAAAAATGATCAGAAATGAAATATGATCAGAACTAAAATATGATCAGAACTGAAATATGATCAGAACTGAAATATGATCAGAACTGAAATATGATTAGAACTGAAATGTGATCAGAACTGAAATATGATTAAAACTGAAATATGATTAAAACTGAAATATGATTAAAACTGAAATATGATCAGAACTGAAATATGATTAGAACTGAAATATGATTAGAACTGAAATATGATTAGAACTGAAATATGATTAGAACTGAAATATGATTAGAACTGTTCTTAACCTGCATCATGTAGAGTTGACTATTCCCCACTACTCCCCATTCCCTCTAGGCTTTTAAAAGCCGCTGAAGCCTGGCCAATAGTTGCCATCATTTCTGTCTTTGTAGTTCCTCCGTTATGCAATGTCGAAACGATATTTTATAGGCCAGACATTTACCTGCCACCCTGAAAGTTTTGGGTTCAAATACGCAACAAAACCGTTTGGTAATTTAAAAAAACATTTATCTTGGCTCCGAAGCAGAGCCGTCGTAATAGTATTTATGGGCCCCTGGGCAAACCACTGTGCTGAGGCCACTACTACAACTCAATATGCGGGTTTGTGTGGGTGGATGGATTATATGGATTTATGTTTGTGTGGTGTGAGTGGATGTTTGTGTGATGTGACTGGATGTTTGTGTGGTGTGACTGGGTGTTTGTATGGTGTGAGTGGATGTTTGTGTGATGTGACTGGATGTGTGTGTGGTGTGACTGGATGTTTGTGTGGTGTGACTGGATGTTTGTGTGGTGTGACTGGATGTTTGTGTGATGTGACTGGATGTTTGTGTGATGTGACTGGATGTTTGTGTGATGTGACTGGATGTTTGTGTGGTGTGACTGGATGTTTGTGTGGTGTGAGTGGATGTTTGTGTGATGTGACTGGATGTGTGTGTGTGGTGTGAGTGGATGTTTGTGTGGTGTGAGTGGATGTTTGTGTGATGTGACTGGATGTTTTTGTGGTGTGACTGGATGTTTTTGTGGTGTGACTAGATGTGTGTGTGTGATGTGACTGGATGTTTGTGTAGTGTGACTGGATGTTTGTGTGGTGTGACCAGATGTTTGTGTGATGTGACTGGATGTGTGTGTGATGTGAGTAAATGTTTGTGCGGTGTGAGTGGATGTTTTTTGTGATGTGATTGGATGTTTGTGTGATGTGACTGGATGTTTTTTGTGATGTGATTGGATGTTCGTGTGGTGTGACTGGATGTTTGTGTGATGTGATTGGATGTTTGTGTGGTGTGGGTGTGTGCTGCGTGTGTTGAGCGGTGGTTCTGGGTGTGTTGTGTGTGTGATGCAATGTGACATGGTGTATGAGTGTGTGTGTATTTTGTGTGTATACTTGAGCATCTATAATGGTTAGTTGCGTGTCCTTTACAGGACGTTGCAGAACTACCCCCAACAGTCCCTGGCTGTTGTGGGGTTTTTCTAGGCAAATATACGTCCAGTAGTTTGCCATTGCCTCTGGACGGTCGGCTTTCTTAATGCCACTGTCGAAACCAACGCAAGGCGCATGGCCCGCAGCTGGGATCGAACCTGGCATCCCGGCATTACCAAGCGATCGCATCGACTTAGCCACAGAGCCGACTTCAGCATTTATAAGACCGACAACAGTAATCTGCTTCATTCAAATATCACAAACAAACAATAAATAATAAATGAGGATCGACTGTACATACCCATTACATGGAGAAAGTGGGCCCTAGGCCAGACAAGTTCAAATTTGCACAGAGACCGTCAAACGTTCAGGAAGAGATCTCTAGAACGGGCCCTTTTGTTCGCTTCTTGTAAAGTACTTTGTCTCTGAGCTATAGATCTGAACTCTAGACAAACCGGGCAGTCTATACGAGCAAATAGTCACTTGGTTAACAAACCACCTTGTCAATGAGCCACATTATGAACAAGCCACTTGATGATGATAAGGTGTATGTGTGTGTTTTCATTATTTTTATGGCGCAGAAAAAAGGGACAGTAAACACGTATTCCAGAAATTACATACATGTAATATGTTATGATATACTTTTCGTTCGGTTTTATATCTTTCCAAACATGTGATAGAAATGCGGATGTACATAAGAACAGACATACAAAAACAGACAAGGAAAGACACCAAGAACTTTCAATAAAACTCGAGACAATCAGAAAATAGACGGAAGAAACAAAAACCTAGACAAGTCAGACATCTTGGCAGCATTGACAGATCTAGTTATGATAGAAAACCAAACTTGAAAGAAATATCCGAGGCAGACGAGCAAGCAAGAGGTTGGCAGGGGGACAAGTGGGAGGAAAACATAAAGCAATCCTATGAATGTCCTAGTGTTCAACAAAGCGAATCAGAGAAATAGCTTGAATATCCATTAAAGCCAGTCTGCTTTCTGATGGCATATTTTTTATCTTTACAATCAGAGGCAATTGTCGAGGTACCGGTGTTTCGAGATAAGACAATAATTTTGAGTGTATATTTTTTTGTCCCAGATCAGAAATTCTAAATACCGTGTATTTGTTTTGTTTTCACCGCCGATAATGTGGTTTCAGTTTTTAAACCTGTGAGAATGTCTTCTCTTGTCTATCCCGTGTCTCGTACGACCCGAGTTGGAAATCTGCACATTGTACCGCTGGTATGTCCTTGCACTGATACAGACATGGTAAAAGAGACGCGGGCAGACCTATAATGGCTCTGATCAACAATATAGGCACGACAGGAAGTGGGCTGCATGGAGGGGGCTGCAGGCGGGTGCTGCAGGAAGTGGGCTACAGAGAGGGGGCTGCAGGAAGGGAGCTGCAGGCAGGGGCTACAGGAAGAAGGGCTGCAGAATGGAGGCTGCAGGCAGGGGGCTACAGGAAGAAGGGCTGCAGAGAGGGGGGCTGCAGGAACAAGGGCTGCAGGATGGAGGCTACAGAGAGAGGGCTGCAGAAGACATCTGAAAATAGTAACATACGAACGTTTATTAAGGGTTCTGCTCCAATTGGGGATAAAATGCTGAAGAAAAAAATCAATTATTATTCTTGTTATTACTATTATTTAAATAATGCGGACACAAACAAAACATTGTTTTGAATTATTATTATTTCTCCGTGTGGATTCCAGGGCTCCAATGTGGTGTGTGTGTGGAGGGGGGGGTGGGTTGGTGTGAAAAACCCACTGCCCCTGCGGTGCATGTCGTAAGAGTCGTCTAATTGTGTATTTGCTTCGAAATCGGACTGCATCGGCCTGAGAGACAGGGAACTAACAGTGTTGACACAAATCAGCCAGATCTGTCGGGCGGATATTCATGCAAAACTCACGTTCTGTGAGGACAAGGCAACGACCAGAAGACGAATACTGACCAGAACTTTCCCTCAGAGTTTGCAACCTGTCAACGCCAAGAAGAGGAGAATGTTTATTATTATTATTATTATTATTATTATTATTATTATTATTATTATTATTATTATTATTATTATTATTATGAAGCATATTCTATGGGTTAAAATTGTGGGAATTTGTTCAATTTGTGTTTGTTGGGAAAATCCTAATGGAGGATGGTCATGATAGTGTGGAAGTGGTGATAATGTATGATGACGATGGTGGTGGTGGCGATGATGATGATAGTCGTAGGGGTGGTGATGATGCTCATGGTGGTGGTGGTGATGATCAAAGGAAACAGACGAGGTACGTAACCAGACCCATGTTAACTTGTATCCCTCCTCAGACCACAGCAGTGTGTGTCTCTGTGCTGACCCTCAGCGCCATCGCCGTGGAGCGCTGGTGGGCCATCTGCTACCCCTTGAGATTCAAGAGTACACTTCCCCGCGCCAGGAAGATCATCGTACTTATCTGGGTGGTTGCCTTCCTTACTGCACTCCCCGAGGCGGTCGTGGCCAAGGCCATTCCCTATAACTTCCCCAACCGCATCTCTACCAAGCTGCTGACCATGTGCAAGTGAGTGATTGTTGTTGTCGAATTCCTTATTTTCATATTTGTATTTGTAATTTTCTGTTTCATACTGTTCTTCTCTATAATTATCATCAATATCATTCTCATCCAATTAACTGTCCAACCAACAAGCCAACGAACCATCCAACCAAACGATCTTGCATCAGTCTAACTAGCCCCAGCCAGCCAACCAACCAACCAATCATTTGTTCTGACAACCATCAACCCAACCAGTTGACCACCCATGCTTCAAACAAACTAACTAATCAACAATACAGTTAACAACCAGTCAACCAGCTATGCAACAACCCTATTTTGACGATAAATGTCTACATAATATGGATTTGTCTACTGCTGACAAAAGCAACCACTTCTATTCGTGGGCTGGTGTCTTATATTCCTCGCTTTTACGCTTGTTGTGCTCAACACGATGATAATCAACATATATCTTTCACATAAATGTATCTCTGCGTATTATAATCTGATCATCCATGATTCACTTCTGTTCATCTTGACTGTCTCTCTTTATCTTTCTAGAAAAACTGTCAGATTTTGTTTAGAAATCATGCACAGAAAACCACGTCGCAGGGCTACAACCTGGTGACAGTGAGACCTGGTGCCAGTGAGACCTGGTGCCAGTGAGACCTGGTGTCAGTGAGACCTGGTGCCAGTGAGACCTGGTGTCAGTGAGACCTGGTGTCAGTGTCCTGGTGTCAGTGAGACCTGGTGTCAGTGAGACCTGGTGCCAGTGAGACCTGGTGCCAATGAGACCTGGTGCCAGTGAGACCTGGTGCCAGTGAGACCAGGTGTCAGTGAGACCTGGTGCCAGTGAGACCTGGTGCCAGTGAGACCTGGTGTCAGTGAGACGACAGTAGAGGGATAGAAAGTCCATGGACCATTGATCATCCTGCGGGATAGATGATTTAACTAACAAGGCTGACAGTTGATCTCTTTGATGCACCCTGGCTTGGTGACCATACGTGCAGATCTACTGTTGAGGCAACATCCAGGGCAAAAGAGTCAGAACGATGTCTTATGAACAGTTTCAGCACAAAAGCATGTAATAGTGTTAGCGCTTAGACTGAAGGGTTTCGTCAGAATAGAACGCACTGGAGAGATATAGTCTGGTGACTTCGGCGTAATTCTCATATCTGACTAACCATAAATAAACACATCTTCATGTTTGTTTTCCAGGTGGCCAGACATTGCTATTCCCACATAGGCGGTAGCTGTCTCACTGACAGCAGGGTTCCAACAACACTAATTTATAGATAAGTGCCACCCTCCTCTCTATCAGCAGTTATCACTCCTCGCTCGAGCACTCACAGCGATTTATTTCTCCAGCGCCATTATTTGTGGCCAACTGACTTGCTTCAACTAATTTTTGTTATCACTATCTCACACTGAAACTCATCTAAAGTGCTAGCTAGGCTGTCGGGTTTGGGAAGATACATATTTCTACAATACAGACATGTTTTCTTCCTCTACTTCTTCTTCTTCTTCTTCTTCTTCTTCTTCTTCTTCTTCTTCTTCTTCTTCTTCTTCTTCTTCTTCTTCTTCTTCTTCTTCTTCTTCTTCTTCTTCTTCTTCTTCTTCTTCTTCTTCTTCTTTTTCTTCTTCTTCTTCTTCTTCTTCTTCTTCTTCTTCTTCTCTTCTCTTCTTCTTCTTCTTCCCTCCTTCTGTTTCTTCCTCTTCTCTCTTCTTCTCCTACTCCTCCTTCTGTTTCATTCCCCTCTTCTTCCACTACTGCTGATGATGATGATGGTGATGACGACGATTCTGTCGGCATATCCTACTAGAGCAGAAACCTTTATTCAAAACACTCTCTCATTTGTAAACATCACTGGCTGACTGCTAGACCCATAGCTGTCTACGGCTGAGGCAGCCAGTTTCTCGCCTTTGATGGTCTCGAACAACCAGCGAAAACATGTCAGTGTCCCTATTTCTTGTTTCTATAAACTGGTTCAGCACCAGCCAGTGTTTAATGCAACTCTGTGCACCTCCCGATGTGTCAGTTTCAAACAGCCCAAGTCCGAGTTTGATAACTGGTAGACGTCTGATGAGTTGCAGCGTCCGAAAACAGTTATCAGGTAATCAGGCCATAGTAGTTCCAGGCTGGTAGCACACAGATCACCCCATAGTAGTTCCAGGCTGGTAGCACACAGATCACCCCATAGTAGTTCCAGGCTGGTAGCACACAGATCACCCCATAGTAGTTCCAGGCTGGTAGCACACAGATCACCCCATAGTAGTTCCAGGCTGGTAGCACACAGATCACCCCATAGTAGTTCCAGGCTGGTAGCACACAGATCACCCCATAGTAGTTCCAGGCTAGTAGCAAACAGATCACCCCATAGTAGTTCCAGGCTCGTAGCAAACAGATCACTACATAGCAGTTCCAGGTTTGTAGCAAACATATAAGCCCATAGTAGTTCCAGGCTCGTAGGATTTTTTTTTTAATTTGTGTATGTGTGTGTGTACTACTACTAATACTGCTGCTACAACTATTACAACTTTCACTACTCATCATTAAGAGCCTTGTCGATTGGCATGGGCGGACAATCTGCGATCTGCAACTGCCTGTATCAGTTCGTGTGTTGTCTCCCCTGTACGCCATGTTAAAAGGTTAGCAAAAATCTTCTCGCGTTGTCTGTCTCTCTGTCCGCGGATATTTCCCATTGTCAAAACGTTTCCTTCCAAACATCTACAACAACTTCTACAATGACTAGCGCTGCTACGACATTGCTTCTACTAACATTGATACAGCTACTACTGTCATTACTTTTGTCACTACTATTGACACTACTACTGTCCTTACTATTTTACTACTGTCAGTACTACTGTCATTACTTTTGTCACTACCATTGACACTACTACTGTCCTTACTATTCTACTACTGTCAGTACTACTGTCATTACTTTTGTCACTACTACAGACACTACTACTCTCACTACTACTACTATCTGTAGTAGTACAATATGCGCTGCATCAACAGCAGCAACTACAACATCGCCGGTTCCCTAACTACAACCACACGCTTTACATTACGCCTGTGGTTTTAATAATATATACACATCCAGATTTAGGGGTCAAAATATTTCTCCTTCACATAAATAAAACGTCCTGTGTTCAGACTGTAAACTCGACAATTTTATTTCTCTAATTTAATTTCGGTAAGCACACATTTCAGACACCTGGCCAGGTAAATCAGTCTGCCGTCCAGACTGTGATGTTTTTTTTAAATCTTAGGATGATATGGTAACCATTAGGTATCAGCCCTGAGGGGATAAACTGATCAATGGATCGATCTCATTCTCACCTCAGTCGACAGTCTGATTGCTCAGATCATTGCTGTGACATGCCGTCTTTGCTTGATCTGTTCTACATTTAACTTCTTTACAGCTGCCCACATCGCTTATCAGGGACACCTGCGCAATGAAAACATTGAAGGAGCTCGGGTCCCTTATAACTGCATAGGGAGAGCGGAAGGCGCTCAGTGGACCTGTGCCTTGTTTTTGTGCGTAAATTATCATGAGTATTATTATAATTTGTATGCTTAAACAAGGCTAACCACCCTCCCCATCCCCATCCCCCCAAGGTGCCTGCGTCTGCATCGCCTACACCGACAGTACATAGAAACCATGCACAAGAACAGCAAACAATTAGTGTTCCATAATGTCTGTATGCTTAGGAAGGTTTTCTAGCCGTAACGTCGTTTTATTAAACTAATGACTGAATTCTTGTTAAACTAAGCAGACCTTCTATTCGTTTTTATTGACCGGTTCACGTTAAAGAGAGATCCGTTCCTATGGACAAGACTATACAGGTCCAGACGTCTATGCGTCCGGTGACATTTGACAGTCATCAATAAACTATCAACCGTGTCACTGACTATGTCCGTCCATCTATCCCCACCAGACCGTCCTGGGACCCGCTCAACCAGGGGATCTACCAGATCATCCTGGCGCTCATCTTCTACGTGCTGCCCATGATCCTGATGGCTTTGACCTACTCACACATCGCTTGCGTCCTGTGGAAGCGTGATATTCCCGGAGCTATTGTCAACATCAAAACTCCAGGTAACGATTTTTAGTATTTTTTAAACATATATGTTTATTTGGGGCACGGACAAAGGAGCGGACAGACAAGCGGGTGGGCGGAAGATCACAACGAATGGAGAAATTCTATTTTATAGGGGACACAAATTGGGCATGCAAGCCCTTCTACGGGGACGGGGACGTGGGGGAGGGGGGGGCGTCATTAAGTTAAGGCAGTTGTATCCTAGTCTGCATGCAACAGTATGAAGAAGAAACAAATATTATTTCATGACACAGTATGGCCCATTCGCTGTACCCAAAGTAGGTGTCATGACGATTTAGCTGTTCTCAAAGTAGGTGTCATGACCATTTAGCAGAACTTAAAGTAGGTGTCACAACAATTTAGCAGTACGCCGAAAAGCTCATACAAGATGACTGCAAAACTGTGGACATGCACCGAGGAGCAGCAGCGAGCTGTTATTCGTGTTTAATGGCAGAACGTGTTAAACCATCTGAAATCTGTCTGAGAATGAAGGTTTGATACGGAGAAAATTGTGTCAGAGGAAAGTACACAAATGTGTGGACAGATTTAAAAGCGGAAGAGATGACGTCAGTGATGAAAAGAGAAGTGGCAGACCAGTTAGCGTGGCAACTGAGCCAAGAAAACAGAAGATAGAGCAGCGAATCCACGACAACAGACGAGTCACTATCAGTCAAGCTGTGTTATCAGCGCTTTACTGTCTAACACTCTCCATTTTAGCAAACCCTGAATTTGACGCCTTTTATGGCATTCATGTTATTGTACAGTGGATCTATTCTGTTTCTCGTTATCGGTGTGTATTCATTTCTGATTAGAGCTTTCCTTCAACAAATATATGGCAGCCCCTGCATCAGAAAAAAAAATTTTGCAAATATTAAAGCATAACGGACTAGGGCAATCTTTACAAATATTGACTTTTTTTTTTTTTTTTTTCTAACCAACGTCGCTGAAAATCAATGTTAACAAATAATAAATTGTTTTATCAGCAAATTGACATAACGGCATTCCATACACCAACCACGTCTCCCCAAGGTTTCTGTCTCAGCGGCACTCTGGTTTCATTCATTGTTGACACAGACGTGCACTGAGTTTTTTCTTCTTCATTAACCAGTCTACAGTTTCATCAGGAAACTGCAGTTCTGCCCATGCCAGCCTCCCATACTACGGCATGGTTTCAACTGTGATGTATTTACCGTAAAGTTCCCAGGAAAGGTGTCGATTTGCAGTTTATTGAGAGTCGGAAATACGATTCCTTTCACGTGCCAGGGAAATCTGAACAAGGAGTCTGGCGGCAAACAATACAGGCTAGCAGAACTGTGGACTGTCTGAAGATTTTTCAGGAGTTAGAAATTCGATTCTATTATTTCCCACACAGCAGCAGTCCGACAATATTATATGCACTCCGATATACTGTCCGTGAGATGCAGGAGTGCCAGGCAATGAAAGAGCGGATTTTTTTCCTCGGCACAAGTGAAAGCTAAGGAACACTCGTCATAAAAGCTCACCCTCATTTGACTACTGGTTACCTTGTAATATTTTTATAGTGCCCCTAAACATTTGTTCAGTAGGGCTTAAAGGTCCTGGCTAAACGGTTGGACGCCGTTTCTGGGACTTGCATTGCAAACGTGAATGGGTAAATCTGAAGAAGAAAAAAAAAAAACATTTTTTTAAGCTTATTCTGTAACGAAGAAGACATTCTAAAGCCATTTGTTAAGGAAGGATGATAAAAGACACGAGAGGAGCTAAAACAACATATGTGACTAAGAGATTAGGTGTGGATCCGGCAAGAAGGGACGCTTGCAAGCAGGAGAACGATGTGTGTATAACCAGCGTGTTGGGGAAACAACATGTACATCTTCAAACATTTGCTGCAGGATAGGAAGTGTCTTTGGGTACGCCTGGTGTGCAATGAGGTCAATTGTTAAATCAAATATTAATTGTCTTTTAAAGGATAGCGAATGTTTATTCTTCAAGTATAATTACATTTTTATGAAGGCATTTGCGGACAAATGAAAATTATCAACTGAAACATTAGCCTGCTACATGTTTGCAAACATTTTACTGCGGTTGTATCGGCCATAAGTAAGTAAAGTTAACTGTCCCTTTTTCATGCCTTTAGGCATATAGGGCATGACCTATATTTTTATAGACACCTCGGCAATAGATGGGTGATGTGTTCAGCATCACGCCGGCCGCCTTTACTTCCTGGGACTCCATCCGGTACCCACTCAAGGTTGGGTCGACCTAGGAGTCAAGGTTATTTTTGAAGGTTGTCTCAGCAGAGACAGAAAAAATGATATCCTCGGTCTTTGCAGCCCCCCAGTTGTACCTTCCTCCACCCTTGCTCTGATATCACATTGCATGTCTTCTCTCCCCGACCACTGACAGGACGGAAACCTATGCTCGACAGCAACAGAAACTCCCAAGAAGATCAGATCGTGTCCAGGCGCAAAGCTGCTCGCATGCTCATCGCCATCGTCATCGTCTTCGGCGTTTGTTACCTGCCGGTTCACCTGATGAACTTGCTCAGGTAGGTTCCTGTCAGTTCATGTGATGAACTTGTTCAGGTAGGTTCCTGTCAGTTCATGTGATGAACTTGTTCAGGTAGATTCCTGTCAGTTCATGTGATGAACTTGTTCAGGTTGGGTTCCTGACGGTTCACCTGATAAACTTGCTCACGTAGGTTCCTGCCAGTTCACCTGATAAACTTGCTCAGGTAGGTTCCTGTCGGTTCACCTGGTAAACTTGCTCAGGTGGGTTCCTGTCGGTTCACCTGATAAACTTGCGCAGGTAGGTTCCTGCCGGTTCACCTGGTAAACTTGCTCAGGTGGGTTCCTGTCGGTTCACCTGATAAACTTGCTCAGGTAGGTTCCTGCCGGTTCACCTGGTAAACTTGCTCAGGTAGGTTCCTGCCGGTTCACCTGGTAAACCTGCTCAGGTAGGTTCCTGACGGTTTACCTGGTAAACCTGCTCAGGTAGGTTCCTGCCGGTTTACCTGGTAAACCTGCTCAGGTAGGTTCCTGCCGGTTCACCTGGTAAACCTGCTCAGGTAGGTTCCTGACGGTTCGCCTGATGAACTTGCTCAGGTAGGTGTTTTTTTTTTTTTTAACCTCTTTCAGTACCAGAGAGGACATAGTACATTTAACTGTAATGTTATCCCATTATAACTGACTGATTACAAAAGCTGCTTCTGTCCCATAGGCTGTACTTGTCAATAAGATGACCCCACAAATGTGTTGCGCTAAGGTACACAAACTTTAGGAAAGACAATGTTGCTTGAAGAACTGAAAGAGTTTAGTATCTTTATTGTCTGGAATGGATTCTCGTTAAACAGGGGCGCCGAATCCTTTAAGCAATTGAGCCATCACCCCTTCCCCAACACCCCCCCCCCCCTCTTCCCCACCCCGCACACACATACACAAACACACACACACAAATTAGGACTAAACTTTTCCCATCCCCTCCTATCTTAACTTTGTATAGAAAGATTTTAATGTATGTTCATCTTCTTCTTCCCTGCTAATCCAAGAGAGCCCTTGAGGTTCATTGCTGCAGATATCCCCCATCTCCATTCATCTCTGTGACTGGCTTTCTCTGTTCAACTTGCTGACTTCACGAATTTGTCGGTCTGCCTGTATATTATCTCTCTATCGTGATGTTAGCTGTATCCTGATGTTAGCTCTATCGTGATGTTAGCTCTATCGTGATGTTAGCTGTATCGTGATGTTAGCTGTATCGTGATGTTAGCTCTATCGTGATGTTAGCTGTATCCTGATGTTAGCTGTATCGTGATGTTAGCTGTATCGTGATGTTAGCTCTATCGTGATGTTAGCTGTATCGTGATGTTAGCTCTATCGTGATGTTAGCTGTATTGTGATGTTAGCTGTATTGTGATGTTAGCTGTATTGTGATGTTAGCTGTATCGTGATGTTAGCTCTATCGTGATGTTAGCTGTATCCTGATGTTAGCTGTATTGTGATGTTAGCTGTATTGTGATGTTAGCTGTATCGTGATGTTAGCTGTATCGTGATGTTAGCTGTATCGTGATGTTAGCTGTATTGTGATGTTAGCTGTATCGTGATGTTAGCTCTATCGTGATGTTAGCTGTATCCTGATGTTAGCTGTATCGTGATGTTAGCTCTATCGTGATGTTAGCTGTATCGTGATGTTAGCTGTATTGTGATGTTAGCTCTATCGTGATGTTAGCTCTATCGTGATGTTAGCTGTATTGTGATGTTAGCTCTATCGTGATGTTAGCTGTATCGTGATGTTAGCTGTATTGTGATGTTAGCTGTATCGTGATGTTAGCTGTATTGTGATGTTAGCTCTATCGTGATGTTAGCTGTATTGTGATGTTAGCTCTATCGTGATGTTAGCTGTATTGTGATGTTAGCTGTATCGTGATGTTAGCTGTATTGTGATGTTAGCTGTATCGTGATGTTAGCTGTATTGTGATGTTAGCTCTATCGTGATGTTAGCTGTATTGTGATGTTAGCTCTATCGTGATGTTAGCTGTATTGTGATGTTAGCTCTATCGTGATGTTAGCTGTATCGTGATGTTAGCTCTATCGTGATGTTAGCTGTATTGTGATGTTAGCTGTATCGTGATGTTAGCTGTATCGTGATGTTAGCTGTATCGTGATGTTAGCTGTATCGTGATGTTAGCTGTATCGTGATATTAGCTGTATCGTGATGTTAGCTGTATCGTGATGTTAGCTGTATTGTGATGTTAGCTGTATCGTGATGTTAGCTGTATCGTGATGTTAGCTGTATCGTGATGTTAGCTGTATCGTGATGTTAGCTGTATTGTGATGTTAGCTGTATTGTGATGTTAGCTCTATCGTGATGTTAGCTCTATCGTGATGTTAGCTGTATTGTGATGTTAGCTGTATCGTGATGTTAGCTCTATCGTGATGTTAGCTCTATCGTGATGTTAGCTCTATCCTGATGTTAGCTGTATCGTGATGTTAGCTCTATCGTGATGTTAGCTGTATCGTGATGTTAGCTGTATTGTGATGCTAGCTGTATCCTGACGTTAGCTGTATCCTGATGTTAGCTGTATCCTGATGTTAGCTGTATTGTTGTGTTAGCTGTATCGTGATGTTAGCTGTATCGTGATGTAAGCTCTATCCTGATGTTAGCTGTATCGTGATGTTAGCTCTATCGTGATGTTAGCTGTATCGTGATGTTAGCTGTATTGTGATGTTAGCTGTATCCTGATGTTAGCTGTATCCTGATGTTAGCTGTATCCTGATGTTAGCTGTATCCTGATGTTAGCTGTATTGTGATGTTAGCTCTATCGTGATGTTAGCTGTATCGTGATGTTAGCTGTATTGTGATGTTAGCTGTATTGTGATGTTAATTGTATTGTGATGTTAGCTCTATCGTGATGTTAGCTGTATTGTGATGTTAGCTCTATCGTGATGTTAGCTGTATCGTGATGTTAGCTGTATCGTGATGTTAGCTGTATCCTGATGTTAGCTGTATCCTGATGTTAGCTGTATTGTGATGTTAGCTGTATTGTGATGTTAGCTGTATCGTGATGTTAGCTGTATCGTGATGTTAGCTGTATCCTGATGTTAGCTGTATCCTGATGTTAGCTGTATCGTGATGTTAGCTCTATCGTGATGTTAGCTCTATCGTGATGTTAGCTGTATTGTGATGTTAGCTCTATCGTGATGTTAGCTGTATCGTGATGTTAGCTGTATTGTGATTTTAGCTGTATTGTGATGTTATCTGTATTGTGATGTTAGCTGTATTGTGATGTTAGCTCTATCGTGATGTTAGCTCTATCGTGATGTTAGCTGTATCGTGATGTTAGCTCTATCGTGATGTTAGCTCTATCGTGATGTTAGCTGTATCTTGATGTTAGCTCTATCGTGATGTTAGCTGTATCGTGATGTTAGCTGTATTGTGATGTTAGCTCTATCGTGATGTTAGCTGTATTGTGATGTTAGCTGTATTGTGATGTTAGCTCTATCGTGATGTTAGCTCTATCGTGATGTTAGCTGTATCGTGATGTTAGCTCTATCGTGATGTTAGCTCTATCGTGATGTTAGCTGTATCGTGATGTTAGCTGTATCGTGATGTTAGCTCTATCGTGATGTTAGCTGTATCGTGATGTTAGCTCTATCGTGATGTTAGCTGTATTGTGATGTTAGCTCTATCGTGATGTTAGCTGTATCGTGATGTTAGCTGTATCGTGATGTTAGCTCTATCGTGATGTTAGCTGTATTGTGATGTTAGCTCTATCTTGATGTTAGCTCTATCGTGATGTTAGCTGTATCGTGATGTTAGCTGTATCGTGATGTTAGCTCTATCGTGATGTTAGCTGTATCGTGATGTTAGCTCTATCGTGATGTTAGCTCTATCGTGATGTTAGCTGTATTGTGATGTTAGCTGTATCGTGATGTTAGCTCTATCGTGATGTTAGCTGTATTGTGATGTTAGCTCTATCGTGATGTTAGCTGTATTGTGATGTTAGCTGTATCGTGATGTTAGCTGTATCGTGATGTTAGCTGTATCCTGATGTTAGCTGTATCCTGATGTTAGCTGTATTGTGATGTTAGCTGTATCGTGATGTTAGCTCTATCGTGATGTTAGCTGTATCGTGATGTTAGCTGTATTGTGATGTTAGCTGTATCCTGATGTTAGCTGTATCCTGATGTTAGCTGTATCCTGATGTTAGCTGTATTGTGATGTTAGCTGTATCGTGATGTTAGCTCTATCGTGATGTTAGCTGTATCGTGATGTTAGCTGTATTGTGATGTTAATTGTATTGTGATGTTAGCTCTATCGTGATGTTAGCTGTATTGTGATGTTAGCTCTATCGTGATGTTAGCTGTATCGTGATGTTAGCTGTATCGTGATGTTAGCTGTATCCTGATGTTAGCTGTATCCTGATGTTAGCTGTATTGTGATGTTAGCTGTATTGTGATGTTAGCTGTATCGTGATGTTAGCTGTATCGTGATGTTAGCTGTATCCTGATGTTAGCTGTATCCTGATGTTAGCTGTATCGTGATGTTAGCTCTATCGTGATGTTAGCTCTATCGTGATGTTAGCTCTATCGTGATGTTAGCTCTATCGTGATGTTAGCTCTATCGTGATGTTAGCTGTATCGTGATGTTAGCTGTATTGTGATGTTAGCTGTATTGTGATGTTATCTGTATTGTGATGTTAGCTGTATTGTGATGTTAGCTCTATCGTGATGTTAGCTCTATCGTGATGTTAGCTGTATCGTGATGTTAGCTCTATCGTGATGTTAGCTCTATCGTGATGTTAGCTCTATCGTGATGTTAGCTGTATTGTGATGTTAGCTCTATCGTGATGTTAGCTGTATCGTGATGTTAGCTGTATTGTGATGTTAGCTCTATCGTGATGTTAGCTGTATTGTGATGTTAGCTGTATTGTGATGTTAGCTCTATCGTGATGTTAGCTCTATCGTGATGTTAGCTGTATCGTGATGTTAGCTCTATCGTGATGTTAGCTCTATCGTGATGTTAGCTGTATTGTGATGTTAGCTGTATCGTGATGTTAGCTCTATCGTGATGTTAGCTGTATCGTGATGTTAGCTCTATCGTGATGTTAGCTGTATTGTGATGTTAGCTCTATCGTGATGTTAGCTGTATCGTGATGTTAGCTGTATCGTGATGTTAGCTCTATCGTGATGTTAGCTGTATTGTGATGTTAGCTCTATCGTGATGTTAGCTCTATCGTGATGTTAGCTGTATCGTGATGTTAGCTGTATCGTGATGTTAGCTGTATCGTGATGTTAGCTCTATCGTGATGTTAGCTGTATCGTGATGTTAGCTCTATCGTGATGTTATCTCTATCGTGATGTTAGCTGTATTGTGATGTTAGCTGTATCGTGATGTTAGCTCTATCGTGATGTTAGCTGTATTGTGATGTTAGCTCTATCGTGATGTTAGCTGTATTGTGATGTTAGCTGTATCGTGATGTTAGCTGTATCGTGATGTTAGCTGTATCCTGATGTTAGCTGTATCCTGATGTTAGCTGTATTGTGATGTTAGCTGTATCGTGATGTTAGCTCTATCGTGATGTTAGCTGTATCCTGATGTTAGCTGTATTTTGATGTTAGCTGTATTGTGATGTTAGCTGTATTGTGATGTTAGCTCTATCGTGATGTTAGCTGTATTGTGATGTTAGCTGTATTGTGATGTTAGCTCTATCCTGATGTTAGCTGTATTGTGATGTTAGCTGTATCGTGATGTTAGCTGTATCGTGATGTTAGCTGTATCGTGATGTTAGCTCTATCGTGATGTTAGCTGTATTGTGATGTTAGCTGTATCGTGATGTTAGCTGTATTGTGATGTTAGCTGTATCGTGATGTTAGCTCTATCGTGATGTTAGCTGTGTTGTGATGTTAGCTGTATCGTGATGTTAGCTGTATTGTGATGTTCGCTGTATAGTGATGTTAGCTGTATCGTGATTTAGCTGTATTGTGATGTTAGCTGTATTGTGATGTTAGCTGTATCGTGATGTTAGCTGTATTGTGATGTTAGCTGTATTGTGATGTTAGCTGTATCGTGATGTTAGCTGTATCGTGATGTTAGCTCTATCGTGATGTTAGCTCTATCGTGATGTTAGCTGTATTGTGATGTTAGCTGTATCGTGATGTTAGCTGTATTGTGATGTTAACTCTATCGTGATGTTAGCTCTATCGTGATGTTAGCTCTATCGTGATGTTAGCTGTATTGTGATGTTAGCTGTATCGTGATGTTAGCTCTATCGTGATGTTAGCTCTATCGTGATGTTAGCTCTATCGTGATGTTAGCTGTATTGTGATGTTAGCTGTATCGTGATGTTAGCTGTATCGTGATGTTAGCTCTATCGTGATGTTAGCTGTATCGTGATGTTAGCTCTATCGTGATGTTAGCTGTATCGTGATGTTAGCTGTATCCTGATGTTAGCTGTATCGTGATGTTAGCTCTATCATGATGTTAGCTGTATTTTGATGTAGGCTCATTCAACTTCCTTGTGTACACAGTTGTTTTTTAAAACCTGTCTCGCAGATACTTCGAGGTGGTCAGTTATGGAGGCAGTCGACGAGAGCTCTTCATCCAGTCCATGATCATCCACCTCTTGCCCTACATCAACTCGTCCTTGAACCCGGTCATTTACAACTTTATGAGCGGTAAGTGTACGGTCACCTCTGTTCCGATATGAGCGGTAAGTGTACGGTCACCTCTGTTTAGATATGAGCGGTAAGTGTACGGTCACCTCTGTTTAGATATGAGCGGTAAGTGTACGGTCACCTCTGTTCGGATATGAGCGGTAAGTGTACGGTCACCTCTGTTCAGATATGAGCGGTAAGTGTACGGTCACCTCCGTTCGGATATGAGCGGTAAGTGTACGGTCACCTCCGTTCAGATATGAGCGGTAAATGTACGGTCACCTCTGTTCAGATATGAGCGGTAAGTGTACGGTCACCTCTGTTTAGATATGAGCGGTAAGTGTACGGTCACCTCTGTTCCGATATGAGCGGTAAGTGTACGGTCACCTCTGTTCAGATATGAGCGGTAAGTGTACGGTCACCTCCGTTCGGATATGAGCGGTAAGTGTACGGTCACCTCCGTTCAGATATGAGCGGTAAATGTACGGTCACCTCTGTTCAGATATGAGCGGTAAGTGTACGGTCACCTCTGTTTAGATATGAGCGGTAAGTGTACGGTCACCTCTGTTTAGATATGAGCGGTAAGTGTACGGTCACCTCTGTTCCGATATGAGCGGTAAGTGTACGGTCACCTCTGTTTAGATATGAGCGGTAAGTGTACGGTCACCTCTGTTCAGATATGAGCGGTAAGTGTACGGTCACCTCTGTTCAGATATGAGCGGTAAGTGTACGGTCACCTCTGTTCGGATATGAGCGGTAAGTGTACGGTCACCTCTGTTCAGATATGAGCGGTAAGTGTACGGTCACCTCTGTTCGGATATGAGCGGTAAGTGTACGGTCACCTCTGTTCGGATATGAGCGGTAAGTGTACGGTCACCTCTGTTCGGATATGAGCGGTAAGTGTACTGTCACCTCTGTTCAGATATGAGCGGTAAGTGTACGGTCACCTCTGTTCAGATATGAGCGGTAAGTGTACTGTCACCTCTGTTCAGATATGAGCGGTAAGTGTACGGTCACCTCTCTTCCGATATGAGCGGTAAGTGTACGGTCACCTCTGTTCCGATATGAGCGGTAAGTGTACGGTCACCTCTGTTCAGATATGAGCGGTAAGTGTACGGTCACCTCTGTTCCGATATGAGCGGTAAGTGTACGGTCACCTCTGTTCAGATATGAGCGGTAAGTGTACGGTCACCTCTGTTTAGATATGAGCGGTAAGTGTACGGTCACCTCTGTTTAGATATGAGCGGTAAGTGTACGGTCACCTCTGTTTAGATATGAGCGGTAAGTGTACGGTCACCTCTGTCCGGAAGAAGAAGAAGAAGAAGAAGAAGAAGAAGAAGAAGAAGAAGAAGAAGAAGAAGACAGGCTTGTACAACATGTGCAGCTGCCCTAGGGCGGCGATATTTGGGATGCGGCCAAATATAACTATTACAATCTAATCTTCAAAAAGAAAGTAAATATGTTTGCATTGCTTTTATCTGTATAAAATATGCGCAGTACGCTCATGTCTGTATCTATTTTAAAAATAAACTAAAAAGTTGACCACGTCTAATTTGCTACAAACAGTTTCGATTATAAATACGGTCTGATTTCTGTGTGCCAAGTGTATTGGCTGAAAGGTGGCGTCACCTAGAATGGCTTTTATCTGCGCCATTTTGAGTGGCTAATGTCCCCACTTCTTCGCATTGGCCGGCTGTAAACTCTGTTGGGAAGTTATGGGTGTTCGTCCACCTCCGAACTTTAGTCTTGTTCCAGAACCTGAGTTTTGTGGCCACATGCATGAGACAGATCTGGCTTATTTGTATGCAGACTTGGTTCCTTGCCTCTTAGGCAGGTGTTCTCCAAAGATGTACTTCGACGGATGCCTCCAATTAGTAGACCCCTACGACACGCTTGTTGGGGAGGTAGTGGGTCTCTTCTTGTTTTTCCCACAATGGGGCCCGGAACCCATACGGGGATCCTCGCCGTTGATACGTGTTGTCCATCCTCACATTTCTGAATCCTTTAAGTTAGTCCTAACGTGGTCTGTGCAGTTCCCTATCCAAGGTTGTTACTGTGGTACTAACATGAGTGCTCCATGTTAGTCCAGACGTGGTCAGTACAGTTCCCTATCTGAGGTTGTTACTGTGGTACGTATGAGTGCTCCATGTTAGTCCTGACGTGGTCAGTACAGTCCCCTATCTAAGGTTGTTACTGTGGTACTAACATGAGTGGTCCATGTTACTCCTGACGTGGTCTGTGCAGTCCCCTATCCAAGGTTGTTACTGTGGTACTAACATGAGTGCTCCATGTTAGTCCTGACGTGGTCTGTGCAGTTCCCTATCTGAGGTTGTTACTGTGGTACTAACATGAGTGCTCCATGTTACTCCTGACGTGGTCTGTGCAGTTCCCTATCTGAGGTTGTTACTGTGGTACTAACATGAGTGCTCCATGTTACTCCTGACGTGGTCTGTGCAGTCCCCTATCCAAGGTTGTTACTGTGGTACTAACATGAGTGCTCCATGTTAGTCCTGACGTGGTCTGTGCAGTTCCCTATCTGAGGTTGTTACTGTGGTACTAACATGAGTGGTCCATGTTACTCCTGACGTGGTCTGTGCAGTTCCCTATCTGAGGTTGTTACTGTGGTACTAACATGAGTGCTCCATGTTAGTCCTGACGTGGTCTGTGCAGTTCCCTATCCAAGGTTGTTACTGTGGTACTAACATGAGTGGTCCATGTTACTCCTGACGTGGTCTGTGCAGTTCCCTATCCAAGGTTGTTACTGTGGTACTAACATGAGTGCTCCATGTTAGTCCTGACGTGGTCTGTGCAGTTCCCTATCTGAGGTTGTTACTGTGGTACTAACATGAGTGCTCCATGTTACTCCTGACGTGGTCTGTGCAGTTCCCTATCTGAGGTTGTTACTGTGGTACTAACATGAGTGCTCCATGTTAGTCCTGACGTGGTCTGTGCAGTTCCCTATCCAAGGTTGTTACTGTGGTACTAACATGAGTGCTCCATGTTACTCCTGACGTGGTCTGTGCAGTTCCCTATCCAAGGTTGTTACTGTGGTACTAACATGAGTGCTCCATGTTAGTCCTGACGTGGTCTGTGCAGTTCCCTATCCAAGGTTGTTACTGTGGTACTAACATGAGTGCTCCATGTTAGTCCTGACGTGGTCTGTGCAGTTCCCTATCTGAGGTTGTTACTGTGGTACTAACATGAGTGCTCCATGTTACTCCTGACGTGGTCTGTGCAGTCCCCTATCCAAGGTTGTTACTGTGGTACGTATGAGTGCTCCATGTTAGTCCTGACGTGGTCTGTGCAGTTCCCTATCTGAGGTTGTTACTGTGGTACTAACATGAGTGCTCCATGTTAGTCCTGACGTGGTCTGTGCAGTTCCCTATCTGAGGTTGTTACTGTGGTACTAACATGAGTGCTCCATGTTAGTCCTGACGTGGTCTGTGCAGTTCCCTATCCAAGGTTGTTACTGTGGTACTAACATGAGTGGTCCATGTTACTCCTGACGTGGTCTGTGCAGTTCCCTATCCAAGGTTGTTACTGTGGTACTAACATGAGTGCTCCATGTTAGTCCTGACGTGGTCTGTGCAGTTCCCTATCTGAGGTTGTTACTGTGGTACTAACATGAGTGCTCCATGTTAGTCCTGACGTGGTCTGTGCAGTCCCCTATCCAAGGTTGTTACGGTGGTACTAACATGAGTGCTCCATGTTACTCCTGACGTGGTCTGTGCAGTCCCCTATCCAAGGTTGTTACTGTGGTACTAACATGAGTGCTCCATGTTAGTCCTGACGTGGTCTGTACAGTTCCCTATCTGAGGTTGTTACTGTGGTACTAACATGAGTGCTCCTGTTAGTCCACGTGTTGTGCAGTCCTGACGTGGTTACTGTGCAGTTCCCTATCTGAGTGTTGTGCAGTTCCCTATCTGAGGTTGTTACTGTGGTACTAACATGAGTGCTCCATGTTAGTCCTGACGTGGTCTGTGCAGTTCCCTATCCAAGGTTGTTACTGTGGTACTAACATGAGTGCTCCATGTTAGTCCTGACGTGGTCTGTGCAGTCCCCTATCCAAGGTTGTTACTGTGGTACTAACATGAGTGCTCCATGTTAGTCCTGACGTGGTCAGTACAGTCCCCTATCCAAGGTTGTTACTGTGGTACTAACATGAGTGCTCCATGTTAGTCCTGACGTGGTCTGTGCAGTTCCCTATCTGAGGTTGTTACTGTGGTACTAACATGAGTGCTCCATGTTAGTCCTGACGTGTTACTCAGTTCCCTACTGTGGTTGTTACTGTGGTACAGTGCTCCATGTTAGTCCTGACCTGGTCTGTGCAAGGTTGTTACTGTGGTACTAACATGAGTGCTCCATGTTAGTCCTGACGTGGTCTGTGCAGTCCCCTATCCAAGGTTGTTACTGTGGTACTAACATGAGTGCTCCATGTTAGTCCTGACGTGGTCTGTGCAGTTCCCTATCCAAGGTTGTTACTGTGGTACTAACATGAGTGCTCCATGTTACTCCTGACGTGGTCTGTGCAGTTCCCTATCTGAGGTTGTTACTGTGGTACTAACATGAGTGCTCCATGTTAGTCCTGACGTGGTCTGTGCAGTTCCCTATCTGAGGTTGTTACTGTGGTACTAACATGAGTGGTCCATGTTACTCCTGACGTGGTCTGTGCAGTCCCCTATCTGTTACTGTGGTACTGTTATGTTACTCCTGACGTGGTCTGTAACATGAGTGGTCCTCCATGTTACTCCTGACGTGGTCTGTGCAGTCCCCTATCTGAGGTTGTTACTGTGGTACTAACATGAGTGCTCCATGTTTAGTCCTGACGTGGTCTGTGCAGTTCCCTATCCAAGGTTGTTACTGAGTGGTACTAACATGACGTGGTCTGGTCCATGTTACTCCTGACGTGGTCTGTGCAGTCAGTTCCTATCTGAGGTTGTTACTGTGGTCCATGTTACTCTGAACATCTGAGGTTGGTGGTACCATGAGTAATCCAGACGTGGTCTGTGCAGTCCCCTATC